GGCATGAATTCCGACACTAACTCACATATTTCAGTTTTATACTCCATCTCACAGCTAAATAACCCGAATATTGAAACCCCCGATGAATTTGCCGACTCAGAACCATCTCCATCCAATAATTTTCATAACCCTTCTAATTTTTCTCAACCTCCTTTTCAACCCATATTATCCAATAACCCTGACCCCATCACTCCGACACCCTCTTATGCTTCCCAAGTTACCCCAACCTACTCCTCATACCATTCTGACCAATCATCTCATTCTCCAGACACCCCCCGAATCTCCCCAGAGCTAGATAATTTTATTACCCTCCAACAACAACCCTACCACCTTAACACCCCGACCATAAACCAAATCTCCTCCACTACAAATTCATCCAATCCCCCTACACCCTCTTCAAATTATACTGAATCATTAACACCATCATCCACATCCACTATATCCTCACTAAACACTAATAGAGCTTACCGCACTTTTAAAAGAAAATTCCCCAACCATCCTTTCCCAGCAAAACCAGGAACAGCCCGTGAATACATCAACCACCCCCAGCATACTAACACTAAAGAATTTTTAGCTATCACTTTACCCTCATTTCCACAATACACCTTAAACACCCCTCACGACGCTAACGAAACACGCAACTTCGTAGATGAATACGTTTTAATGCCCACTCTCTCTTGGACCTCATACTATCATTTCACTAACCCTCTTTGCTTACCTTTATCCAGCACTTCCATCGATATAGACCGAAACAAAGACATGCTATATCGACTAACTACACCACTAACCGCTAGACAGTTTACTTACGTTGGATATAAAAAATCACTAAAAATACACACTGCACCTAGAGCTAATGAATATACGCTAGAATACTACGATCACAACATCATCAGAGCTAACCAAGATCAATTCTTAGATGACGATCGCTTCGCTAATCCACAAATCACCGAGAAATTTTTCATCAAGACACCATATGTATTTACACTAAACATCTTCGACCGAAAGTTTGATCACATTATTTCAGAAGCACTAACAAACACACAGGCATACGAAAGTTTTAAAGAACGCTTCCAAATCTTTTCACTAACCTTTCATTTCCTTACACCACACGAAAGAGATTTACACTGCTCACACGATATTATGTTGCGCACTAAACAAACACATACATACAGTTACTATCGTTTCATCCAAAATCACTTTGACCTCCACACACCCTCTAGACAACCACACCATCGTTTTCAATTCATCAATTCAAAATACACTTCACCGTATTTCCTAAATTTCACATATTGTATTAAAGACACTAACCTCCATGGTATTCTTCGTAATTATGACCCCATAACCCAAATGTACATTTTCTGCCCCATCACCAAGACCTTCAACGCCGAAGAATCCCGACCCTTCCTTATCCCGCACGAATTCCTACAACCTATAGAAATCCCAATTTTAGAATTCATCCACAACACTAAATTTAACCACAAATTATATAACTTAATCCAAAACACACCTTATGAGTTTGCAGTAGGCACTGAAGAACTAACCACTATTAAGGCACTTCAATTGCTTTGGCCACTGCTTCAAACTAAAAATATCATCCGCATCTTAGCTAAACTACTAACAACTTCAGAACTAATTCACGATATCTTCCCCCACGGTTTTTTCCCCGACGACTAACAGGTAAGTATGAATTCAATGAATATTACTAACTAATTATAATATTAAAAAACTCACCATTCTTTATTCATGTTTTCTTTAGATTTTTAGCCTTCATCCTAGATCATCTGAAAAATTCACAAAAGAAAAATAAAAAATAGCAAACTTCTTCAAAACTATTTAAAACCCTATTAAACTTGTGCACCAACAATTAAATAAATATAATACCAATGCAGTAAATTAATTTATAAAATTTTCCCCCAAAAGCAGTAAATCTAATTATGATGAAAATTTGTATCTTAAAATTCCCCCATAACTAGCAGTAAATTTCAAAATTCTATGCAGTAAATTAATAAAATGCAATTGCAGTACTAACCTTTTGATATTTTCATTCATTCGCACAGAAATTCTATCCACACTCGCACAGCTCGCCCACGAAGAATTGTTTAAAATAATGAATTTCAGTTTCAAGTTTTCACACTCAACAACTCTAACATATAATAACATGTTTCAAACTTTCCTTTAACCCGGTTGGAAAGGAATCATATACTAAACAAAACTAACCAACGCAGCTTACTAAATACCACAAATCATAGAATAACAGCATGACTAAGAAAAGGAAACCAACGGTACCCAAACGGGATTAACCCAGTTTAAAACTGGATAAATTATTCTTTTGAAGACTATTACAAAGTCTTAGAAAGAAATAATAAAACACAAAAAAGTCGAAAGACAAACCCATACCACAAACAATTTGATTTTTGAAAAAAGGACACAACCAACGAAACATAAGAAAAACCACAACAAACCCAACATAAAACGTTGTCACATAACAGGACCCCTCACAAAAACCGCATGAAATCATACTCCCACACCTGGCCTAACCCACCAGGAAGGACGTCCTGAGCATGCTCTATAGCCGGCCTAACCCACCGCGCTACATCCACGCTTTGTGACCACACCTTTATTTTTAATAAGAGCTACTCAAGGGTGAGTAACTCTTCAAAATAACCGAACTAAAACAAAAAGCTTTTGTGAAAACAACTAACTAAAATCATTATTAAAAAATATTAAACTAATAAAAGTTTTATAAAATGTAAAATCACATGATGCAATATATAGATCAGAATACAACACCAAGGACGAACATCAAAAGACAAGACGACCTCACTACACTCGAGAGAGAATGACCAACTACAATCGATATGCCGCTCACAATCACAACTCAAAGGATTTAGAGTACGACTTGACCTCGCAGAAAAGGACTTCATTGAACTAGACCAATGACCACCTCGATGACCCAAGTATACGTACAGATCCGAGTAACCAGGCATCCCCTCCACGCACAATCTCCACGCCATTCCCAAGCTAGATCAGACACAAAAGAAGTTCTCCCCGAAGAACAGAAAAACCTGACATAGCCAACCATTCTGAAATCAGAATTGGTTTTGTTGCAGAGACTCAGTCGTTGTCACAAGAAGAACACAACGTCTTATGTCTCTAACTCCAGTTTCCTGGAACTTCCTAAACAAAAAGGAAACAAAGAAATATGATGATTCGCCAAATACCAACGTCCATCATCCATCCTTGAATTACAGAAGAACTGTTCTAAAAAACTCTGTAAAACCCGGATGGGTGGAACCTGATCTAAACTACATTTTATGATTGGATAAATTAAATGTTTTACCAATGTAAAGTATTTAATATTAACCAATCATGATCCATCTAACTAACAACCCACTTATTTGTAAGTGCTGAAGTTACTTGTAATTTCAGCACCAGAGAGATTTGAATTTAACTTAGAAATTAGTTGGACTCTCCCGAGCACTTCAGCAGCCGCAATAAACCAGTATACCCTAGATCTATTGAGCCTAGCAGAGACTAGTTAAACAACCTGAGACTAGATAGTATAAGAGTAAGATTAGGATCGGTATTAGACTAAGAAGTTGCACGAATCTATCCGGCCGAAAATAAGATAGCGTGACGAGCAGACGGTGTACCCTATCCGAAATTACTCTATGAGTTATACACCCCAGTCATAACTCACTTGCCCGAAAAATATGGTTATCCGAATGACTTGTTGAAAGCATAAATAAAGAAATTAAGTCGAGATGGTTCGGCGCATTTGAGAATAGATCAATTTCATTTGAACTTGTAAAATACATCACAAAACATGGTGAGCTAAGTAATGGCATTCACTAAGGAATAGGTGAAGAGAAAAAGAACCGATCTCCTTAACAACTTCCCTCCCTGTAGCTGTGGGGGCGGGGGTGGGGTGGGGGGGGGGGGGGGGGTTTCGGGGGTTAATACTTCGTTTTGATTGACTAGCATAATAGCATAATTTTCGGGCGCTCAATTGTTCTGACATGAAGCATTACCCCCTAAACAACGTCTGAGCCAATTTAAAAGCAGGGATCTCTTCAACTAACCCCTAGCATATATAATTTTTGTACCTTGTAACGAATCCCCGCCTGTTGTTACAGCAGTGATGGGAAGTTAAAGAGAGCCAAAAACAAGTAGGAAGTGTCCGCCAGCAGTCACTTTCAACATACCATTTTTGTAAACAAAAAATTCAAGTGAATTCAACCACATATGAGTTAATTATGCTCACAAAACTTGATATGATAAAAATAATAACTATCAAATCGACACAGCACAACCTTGTTTAAGTTTAACTTTTCTGATAAGTACATTTTTCATACAACTGAACGATATAAACTTTGGGCTGAAACGTCATTTTTTGGTTCGATTTTTGCTTTAAAATTCGCAGCGGAGCAGATCATTTAGGCCTAATCTGGGCTTCCAAGTATTCCGGGGGCAATCAGAAAATCAAAGTGGTCGAACAAAAAGGTCGAAAATTTTTTTAAAAGTTTTGATCGGTCCAGCCCTTAAAAAACCCCTAGTACCTATTCTGCCCCTCCTGTGTTTTGACGACTTTTCGGATTTTTTGCAATTTTTGGAATTTCCAACCGATCAACATTTTCTTTTATTTGGTCTTATCTTTTCATCATCCGGGTTTTTCCTTTTTGACCAATTATGTTTTAGACAAAACGCCGTTTTGGCACAACGTCTTCAAAAATCAACGAAAATGCAGACATTTTTGGAAAAATTGTATTTGGAGTCTATAAACTTCTCTAGGAAAATCAATATTTGCTCATCCTAAAAATTGGTATCAAAAATTTTAAGTTATCAAAAACTTCTCCCAAAATACTGAGGATGAACTCCTGATAAAACATGTAAGAAGCGAATCAACCCGAAGGAGCATTTCTTTTCTGAGAAAAAATATTTAAGTTTGATTTCAACATGAAATATGCTATGAACAATCGAATTTTTTGGGAATTATTTTCATTACTCTTTTGATTGATTACTCTTGTATTTGAGACAAAGTGAGCTGTGCCGATTAGAAGATAGCGTACGGTTCGATCGTCATCACTTGAAATAATTAATCTGTGTCTGGTCTGTAAGCGATTTAAGCTCTTCTTCCTTCAGCTCCGCCCAAATTATAGAAGAAAAATGTCATAGTTTAAAGATCATTCGATTGATGTGAATAAAACTGTACTTAATGTCTGTTCATCTTCCAATTATTAAGTCATGCCATTCAGTTTAAATGAACTTAATTTTCAGTTGGTACAAAAAGCGAAATCGAAGGAAGTAGAAGAGCTTAGAAACTTCGAACATAATTGAGTAGTTATTTATAAAGAGATAGTTTGCGCGGTGGATTTGGCCGGCAGTGAGCCGGGAGATAATGAAAATGCAGATGAAAAAGGGCGTGAGGTGTGAGAGGGGGGGGGGGGTTAGTTTCAGCTGAGGGCTGGGAATGTGATTTTGAAGCAGTATGGCCAGAATTTCCAATAGATGCCCTTCACTTTGGCATTGTATCGGTCCTCCAGAATGTATTCAACTACGTCCAGTAAACATGACTCGAAGTCCTGAAATAAACAGGGAAAGCTAGCTGCTCTGCAAGTAAACCTAGAAACTTTTACTGGCCTTTTTTTCTTGCTTATTCTCTAATTCAGTCTTATATTCTAGAAAAAATCTGAAAAACTTTCGTGGTTTTTTGTTGCTTTTTTTCTAGAATATAAGACTGAATTAGAGAATAAGCAAGAAAAAAAGGCAACTAAAACTTTGAAACTTATTTTTGCGTTTTCTTATGTCTTGCTTTCTTACTTTTTTTCTATAATATGCAAATTAATTAGATGAAAAAAGCCCGAAAAAATTGCAATTACTGAAATTTTTCGGATATTTAAGTAAAGCGTAAAAATTCGAATAAAATTAAACGTTGGAGGTCAGCCTAAGCAAATTTCATCTTATTTGATCTGAAAATCGAAAAAAAAATCAGGCCGGTTTTCCTTGACATTGAGAGGACTTTCGAAATTTTTTAAGCATCCAAAAAGAATCCGAATCACGACCACTGGGGAAATATTATGATATCAAATTTGACGCCCTATGAATTTTCCTTGAAGTAGTCAAAAGTGGCTGGAATTTTTTTTATCGCGCATCCTAAGCCATAGTTCCCTTCCGCTCATCGAGATTGGTCGGATACATAAACTAGCCGAACACATGGAGCATTTAAAAACACTTAAATTATGAAACCACTAATTACAATTTTGAAAAAAAAATACAGGTTTCTTAACATTAACGGCTCAGGATTCACCGATTAATTTCATCTGTTTATTTTCCAATCGTTTCAAATTCAGCTGGTATCTTCACACTTATAATGTTTTATCTCAATTATCTTCAAAATAAAAACAGAATTTGTGACTTATCATCTATGAAAATTTTTTGTAAATGTTTTTAAAATTGTCTTAATGATTTATTTGGATAAGAAAATAATATGGTAGGAAGACACAAATCAAGTTCAGTTCGACCCTTACGGCTCTAAAAAGATATGTTTAAAAAGATACTCGTGCTTTTCTAAGGTTGAGGTAAATCAGCCCAAAAAATAATCAAAACAATAATGTTGTTCCTAATTTGGCGCGCAACAGCGTCTAGTCATAATGAGCTGAACAACGAGCTTCTTGATCATCTCCTTCATTAAAATAGTCCTTCCTAATCTTAAAAAACAGTGATAAGGCTCCGTTTGTTTTTTTTTAAATACTGCTCGCAACACCGATAAGTTTACAGCCACCTGGGAAAGACCCAAATATCAGTTGGTTTACTGAATTATTTGCTTGTTTTTGTCATGGTCATACAGGAAGGCTAACTTCAACTTCGCCGTAGCCCTTTACTAACAGCCTATTTCCAATATGAAACGTTAATTCAGTCTCTTAACGAATTGTTTGCGGCAAAAAACGCATTTCATTGAAAAAAATTTCGCTCTGTACTCCAAATGACCAAAAACTAAAATAATCAGATAATCTTTTCCGATCATTCCTTTTTTGTTTTTTTTTCGAATTTTTTTCTTAGTTTGAAGCATGAACAAGGCAGTTTTAACATAAAACACCACTCGGACTCAAAAGATGCTCTTTTCAGGTATATAGACCAAGATGCGAAAACACCTGAATTTATAGTTCCTCCAAAACTTCGCTGGTCAGAGCAAACAATGTCAACAAAAGACAAATTTTTCCTTAAGAAACTGCCCGGCATTAAGCTAACGCAGATCCAAAACAAAAAAAGCCGATCATGTGCAAATAGCACAGAATGTTCCGAGCAAATCGTAGAAAAAACTTCATTCAAAAATATATATATATATATTTTTCAAACTTGTGTCTTAATTTGTGCGCGTGTAATGAGAAAATTGTACGAACAGTTAAAGAGAAAAGTTAATGAAAAAGACAGAATCGACAGCGGTTCTATTCAAAAATAGAAAAACCTACAGATAAAGCTTTAAAAAAATTAATTCAAAAAATTGTTCCAAAAATTTTCTTATTTTCTATGTGAAAAAAATCATTGCTAAAAAATACGAAATTAAACTTCCAAATTAGTTTTTCCTTCGTAAGCTAAAATTTTGACACCTTCTAAAACAAAATTTTTTAGTCTGATTTTGAACAAGTCACGCGAGTGAGGAGGTTTTACACTCGCTCAAAAGTAGACAACAACAATTAGACTAAAATTAAAACAACTCAAAAACAACGCAACTAATTACCTTTTTGCTGTCGTTTGACTCAGGGCGTAAAATTTTTTTAATGATATATCACTCGACCCATTCATTATTTGGGTTAGCAGACTTTGTGTGGAAAACAAAAAAAAACTAAAACACCCGAATACCAAGCTCTTCAACACTTTCAATAGTAGGAACAAAGATAACTTTTGAGAGTTGTTATGATATTGAATGTCATCTGGATTTGTTCTATACTGTCTTATCAGTGAAATACTTGGCTACTTTGCAGTCGAATGTCAATTTTTTAGAGAAACTTAATAAAAAACAAATTCAAAGCAAAACAAAGGTAGCCGCTCATTGTGAAATATCACACGCATTTTTTTTGCAAATTTTGTTTTATTCGTTGATGTTTTTTAAAAAGATTTTAAATCTGTGTCCATTCAGTCCGTCATGAATAAAAATTTACATTCAGCATAGTAATTAGCTTTGCTCATACGTCAAAAAATAAGCTCATCCTACAACATACTTCTTCCATTGGTGAATGACAAGGAGATGAGTATAACGCAGACAGTGAAGTTAATAGGCAGTTATGAGAAACAGTAGGCCAAAAAAAAACAAAAATAAGGCACCCAATTTGAATAAACTGTTTGGCCGAATATTGAATCGCTATTTATTACAGCCGTTTGTCTATTTTTTTTTTTCTGTTTCTTGACAAGCAAATTTGTGAAAAGATTTTCGCTTGCCGCATAATTCGTTCAATCACCCGCCAACATGCCTTCATTTTGTTTGTTTTGCTCATTTGTAATTTCACTGTTTCGTTCAGACCAGTGTAATTTTTATTCACTATCGGCAAAATCATAATTTAATATGTTTGGAACTAGATTAGCCACTTGCTCTACAAGTAGCCTAAAATGCTCAGCCAAAATTGGCAATGAATGGAAAAAATGAAAATATTCCGTCACTTTCTGGGAAAAGATTGAAATTGAACTCCAACTTAATAAATTTGATAAAATATGGTAAAAACCATAAAAAATGTCAAAAGGTGAACAATAGAAAACCAAATCAGTGAAATCGTTTGGTGCCGTGTGTGAAGGTCCTGCAAACCAGAAAAAAACTGTTCAACCAGGTTCCAAAATGTAGGTGGATTCCACTGACAAAAATCTGTCGATTGCGCGCACAATTACTTGAAACTTAATTTTTGTCTCCAAATTAATGCAAACTTAAGAAGATAACACAAAATTTTATTGAAAAATGCGAATATGTAGGTGGATTCCGCGAATCCTAAGACCATTCCGCAAATGTAAGGGGATTCCGCAAAAATATAATCTATAATGAGATGAATACATATTTGTTTTTGAATTCCGCAAACTGTTCTGAATAGCCGGTTAGCGGATTCCGCGGCAAATCTGTTTACAGCCTCTGGCGGAATCCGCTTACAATTTATTCATGACATGAATTGTCTCACATGAATTAAAGAAAAATGCTGTAAAATCTTTTAATAATAGCATGATTTGTTCCGAACTAATGAGTAATAAATTTGACTTCAACAAAGTGACCTTTAAGATATGTTCAACAAATTGTCTTAAATATTTGGCGACCACAGATCAAAGAGCATTCGAAGTCAAAGCTCTCTCAGAAGAATATAGGCTCTTTGGTTGACATCATCAGCTGAGCCAACAACAGCTAAGACTACAACAGCTGAGCCCACAACAGTTGTACCAACAACACCGGAGCCAACACAACAGCTGAGTCAACAACACCTGAGCCAACAACAGCTGAGTCAACAACAGCTGAGCCAACAACGGCTGCGCCAACCACTGCAGTACTAACAACCGCTGAGTCGACAAAGGCTGCATCAACAACAGGTCCTGACCAAGGGTCCTACATCACAACTCAGGCTAAATCCATTTCGAAAACAATTTTTTTACTTCAAAAACATTTTTGTGCTTAAACTTAAAAATTCATGATCTTGCTACAAAAATTTCAACCCCATAGTCGATTGTGAAAGCTTTATTCAAGTTCGTGCTATAGCAAAACCCACATTGTGCTAAAATTTACAACAATTGCGCTAAACTTTTGTGCTGTTTTTTTTTAAAGAAATCCACAACCTCCAATGTGAAATATTAGAATTGGTCAATTTAATTTTAATCCTCGGCGTATTAAGGTAGTACCTAAAGACACACAAAAAAAACAAGGTTCCCACTTATAAAAAAAATACTGATAGCCAAAACCCGATAGCCAAAATCTTCTAGCCCAAAACTAGCTGCTGCGAATTTTCAAAAGCCCATTTTTTCTGAAACGTTTTCTTTAAACCCATAACTACAAATAGTTTACTAGCCACATCTACAAAACTTTCTACAAAAATTTTGAAAGTCTCAAAATTTTTTACTCAATTGAACTCTTAAAAAAAACCGTAAAAAAAAGAAAGTTTCACCGCTTAGTCCTTAACCATAATTAAAAAAGCTCATAACAGCGTGAGCTGTAGCTCACTTTGTTTAATTAACCACCGGGTTAACCCTCTGGCTGGTTGACTTTAACAAAAAATTAAACGTAACTTATAGTAAAAATCTTGAGAAAGCTCAAAAAAGCTTCATTACCGAAACTACTTTGCGATCGCTGCCATCCGAGCTCGTTAACTTTTAATACATCTTTTCTACTCTTTGTACTACTTTCTTGAGTGGCTCCAACGAAGCCAACCTTACAACAGCTACTCAATCAATGGAGACGCCGCTACAGTACTTTCGAGGAGCTTGAGGAAGAAGTAGTGATGCAAATAGCCAACTCAAGCGAAATCGAGTATGTTAAACTCAGTTTTGAGGAGATAACCACTTGTTTTGACCTGCTTGATACGCTCGCAGACGACTTAGCCGCGTTTTCTACTCAGGAAGC